AAAATGTTCTCTTAAACTATCATCTGTAGTTTCAAAGCTCAGACCACCAATAAACAGTTTTCTCAACTGCTCTGGTTCCTTTGGATCATGGCCCTCCTCCCCCCGGCGGCGGCGGCGACGGCCGGAGTCGGGCTGGGGGCGACCGGGCGGCGGTTTTACCTCCATTTTGAGACCGGACTCGCCTCTTCCAACTCGAGTTCAATATGGGACCGAGAGGAAGAGGCGGGGCCAGCCGTCACGTGACGCGCTTTCCGCGCGCCGCCGGCCTGGTGGGGGAGGGGCACGCTAAGAAAGGGGCGGGGCCGAGCGGGCGCGAAGAGGGACTGGACGAGCAGGTTGGCGGGCGGAGGTCGGAGGCGCTGGAGGCCGCGGGAGCGCGCGCGTCTCGCCAACTTCCAGTGCTGCACCGGGGCGGCTGACGCGACGTCAAGTCGGGCTGAGCCAATGGTGAGCACCCACGTCGGGAAAACGCCTCGTGACCGCGCGTCACCGGAGAGAAAGGCTTTTTCCTTTCTTCTCGCGCCTCTTCCCCTCCCCCACGCGGGCCTCTCGGTCTCCATTTCCGATTTCATTCTATTCCTGTGCCTAAAATAAAACCACACCTTTCTTTCTTGTAATTTAAGGTTGCAAGAAATCCCTCTTTTTGCCTCGCGGATCATCTCTCCCATTTCTATATGCCCCTGACCCGTGTCTGACTGCGCCTCCGTCCTGAGAGGGCACGTACTGAAAATCCCCGCGACCGACATGTGGGAATCAGGGGCACCATGGACGGGCCTCCGCTGACACTGAATTGTTCCCCTTAACGACCCGAGGCGGGACTAGGTACTCTCTGACCTCCGTAAATAAATATATCGGGACTATTTTTTAATGCTCTTGTTGATGTGAAAAGAGCTGAACTATCTGGCGGGCAGAATTGAGTGACTTGACAGATTTTTTTTTTTTTAAAGCGAGGTCGCCAGATACTGCTGTCTGTGAGCGAGTAACTTTTACCTTAATGTGGTCACCTGTGTCCGATTGTGTTGTGAAATACAATGAAAAGACGAATCAGGAACTAGAGATTCTAATCCTTTTTCCTGCCTAGTCAAGTGATTTGATCTTAAAAAGCTTTCGTTTTACTTTTTGAATGAAAATGGAGGTGGCATTAAGTGATCTTCCAGCACCCAGGACAGCCACAAACTGATAATTTTTTGATCCATGTTTAAACAGACTTACTAATAAAAATAACCGTCATTGACAGGTCGCCCTTTACTGCTAGGAAGTACTTTATTTTGTTTAGAAATCTGGGCTCGGCGCCTATAGCTCAACAGGCTAAGGCGCCAGCCACGTACACCTAAGGTGGCGGGTTCGAATCCCCAGCCCGGACC